CTAATGCAAGTTTATGTACTTAGTGTAATTAAATATAGGTATATATATTTGTATTTGTATTCGAATTCGTATTTGTATTCGTATTCGTGTTTGTATGATGACTACACGTTTGCCATCCATTTGGGTCTGTTCGTGTCTTCGACTGAGACCCAGTTTCGAGCCTAATTACCCAGACATGTCTGAATGGCTTCTTCCTCCGAACTACATCGGCTTCTATATGTACACGTCTTCCCCTAAAACATTTGGCTTGCCATCTTACATATAATTTTAACTTGTTACATTGTTTCTCGAGTTGGTTTTACCTAATAGTTGTTTTTTATGCTTTACTTTTCATGCCTCGTACCCCTAGTCGAATCTAATGTTTGGAAATGAAGACGAATACAGTGCGTTTCGAGTTTAACTTTATTCATGATTTTTGATAACTGGAATAATGTTTAGTTTTATTCCATTTAAGCGGAAAAAAGGGGGGAGGTATAAAATACTTTTCAGATTCCTTAGAAAACAGAATTGATAGGTAATTGAACGGAAGTTTGGTTAGCTTCCCTATAGCCCTGAAACGCACTGTACCGAAGTGGCGCTGCACTTAGGCAGCTGTAAGCGTTAATGCTTTTTAATTGTTTTGTGTGTAAGTGCTTTTCTGTTGTTTATTTTTAGATATTTTTGCGCTAGCTAACTAGTTTTACACGTTGTCATGTTTGTTTGCTGCTTGGCCAAGTCTAAAGTTTGTAGTTCAAGTTGATTTTTTATGTGTTTCGTAGGCCTTTTGAAAGCTCTGTGACCTTCCCTCTCTAATGTCGGCTGTCTCCTTCTACTCTCTTGCCCAATTGAAAGGCGGCTAAGTGATTTGACTTTGGCTCAGCGACGACTTTGTTAAACACTTCTGGGCCAGCCAAAAGTTTTCACAATTACGCAAGGGCCGGGGGACTTAAAGCGGGATCATTCGAGTCTTAAACGCTCAGGCGAGTTCCCACTATTATTAGAAATTAGAAATCAATGACAAATCGCTTTTGACATCATCTCGGTCGCTGACTCAGCGCAATTCAGCTAAAATCTACTAACTAAGCGCGGACGAAAAAAAAATAAATACGAAATTCCCATTTGGTGCGCTTAATTATTTATAGTTTGGTAAGCTGTTTTTGGGCTTGGCATTTGCATATTTCCGCGCACAGCAAATCGCATAATTTTATTTTTCGGCTTATAATCATCCGCACACAGAGAGAAGTGGAGAGAGTGAGGTCAATTAAGTGCCATTAATTTGCCTTTTTAATTAATAATTTATTTTTTAATTTATTTAAAGCCGCTGCTTAAATCCCGCTGTCTATTCCACTCCGCGCTGCGCATTCATGCATATAAATTATGCTAATTAGTTACAGCTACCGCCTGACAATTTAATACATATATTTGCATTCGCTTTTATCTGATCTGTTATATTTTTTAATTAAAGCTTATTAAAACTGTCGCTCGCGGACCTCTCTCCCTGCGTCTTATCATCTGGCGTAAATATATATTTACTTTTATGCTTAATTTATGACTTTAGCAATCACCGAGCTGGGAAACTGGCATAATAATTACCGAAAGCCTAGAAAATATTTAAATGAATTTTCTGTATTTTTTCTCCCCACTTTACGTTTTTTTTTGCCCGCTAAAAATGTTTTAATTATGTCAGAAATGATGTAGCTCGCTTGGCAGCAGATTGAAGTTGACCCAAAAAAAACGAGCAAAACGTAGAGGCAGAAAAAAAACGCGATGACGACAAAACCGGTTGCCTAGGTCTGAAATCGGAGTCCGGGGTCTCCGAAGTATCTGGTGTCTGAAGTCTGGGAGTGGAGGCTCCTCCGCCTCGTAAATATCAGCTTTATGACCAGCCTCAATGCGAGTGTCCTCCGCTGTTTTTTCTTTTGTGGTTGCCACTTAGCCCCCTGCCACGCCCACCGGCCGCCCCCACAGACAATGTTTGGTTAGACAGCTTCCGACGCCGTGTCTCTCTGCCCCGCATTTATTTTATATTTATTTTTTGGCGCTTGACAACTGCCGACGCCGCTTCCACTTGGTTTTGTGTTACTCTTTTTATCCCCATTTTAATGCGCTTTGCGTCATTTCATTTTGAACAGTTTTCGTTACTCTTGTGTGAGCACTCCCGACTGGAATTTAAAAATAACCAACTCTTGCATCTGGGTGTCTCTGTTTTCATGCCTCTTATTTGCATGTTTTCCTCTGCCGTTTCGGTTTTTGTTTCACTTGGCTTTCTGTTTGCGTTGCCGGCCATTATTGGGTTTATTTATCTGCTGATGACTTTTAAATGGCAGCTGTTCTCCACCCGACGGCAAAAAACAACGTCTAAATAAAGTCAATTAGAAGAGAAAACCTTTTGGTTGACCTATCCCGCTCTATAAGGCCAGCATAAAGCTCGGACTAAGCGATTATTTGAATATGGACATTGGCACTCGCAGTCGACAGCGACGAATCAATTGAGTCACAGCGGCCTGTTACTTAAACTTTTTACTCGCTTTCATGAGAATAGTTTTGGAATTTATAATAAATTTATAAATATATTCCAGTTAAAAAGTCGAGTGATTAATTAAAAAGAAACTTTTAAACAATATTCATCGGAAATGGCACTTAAAAACAGATTGTTTGTTTAACCAATTAAAAACCTAAAATGTATATCTCGTAGCCCTGTGAAATCGTAGACTAGGAAACTAAGCGACAGACGGCTATTTACAATCACTACAGACCTTTCCCCATAAGTGAGTAAATCCCAAAAAAACAACAGCCCTCGAACTAACCACTTGATCACTGAGCTCATTTCAGATCGGGCGAAAAGTGTCGAGTAAGCGAAGGCACTCGAGCGACTGGACATTATCTGCGATGCCCACACATGGAACGGCAATCAAATCAGATGTGAATGCGAGTCCCAAGTGCAGCTTAGTAATGCCAGACGAGACGAGACGAGCGGCACCTGCCCAGCGCGGCAACGGGGCGTATGAGTGACGACAATGGCGATGACCTCGCATTCGAAATGGGGCGGCGGGGGCGGCTCGGAGGGGAAGGGGCCATCACTCACCCAGCCGCATGCAAATGGCCCCAGCAGCTGATAGTTGATTGCTCAAACGAAATGAAAACAAACAACCGACGCTGTCAGCTGGAGAAGCGATCTCTAGTATATTTTAATTACACTTGTGTGAATGCCGCCGGCGGCAATTGAAATATTTTTCCGTCCCTAATCTACGACCAATTTAATATGAATTGAATAAATGAATAGATGGCAATCGTATCTTGGAGCACGGAATGGGGGCGGGGGGTGAATCCCGGGGAGACTTCGGCACCATTCAGGAAACGAGCGGTGCCTTGTTTAGATTTGGCGTCCAAACGAGATTGCTTTCTACGGCAAGTGTTGATAGATTGGCTTTATGCTGAGAGCTGAGAGAGATTTCTAGGGTTTCTTGCAAGAAGTTCCCAAGTGGTTGGGGGATTCGGAAATAAAAATGTGGATATTGTGTGGACCAAGACGACAAGAAATTGTGAAACGGATATCATTTTCAGTTCTGTAATTTCCAGTTCCAAGAAAGAAATTAAGGAGTAGTGCTAGTCGTTAAAGAAAGATTGCTGTTTGTTGAAAGGGAAATTAAATTTAAGAAAATAATTTTAAGGAAAGAAACATTTTTAAATGCAAAGTAAGAAGGCTTTCTTTTATGCCTTTTAAGTCTATCATTTTGTAGATCAGCTTGGCTTTTTTCAGACATTTCCCAGACGCCAGCACTGGCCCGACCAATTCCTGCTATGGTTCCGTCGTGCTCCAATTGGGCCTGTCGTCTTTCCTTGTTGATTCATAAGTGGATTCCAGTCAACTTGGACGTAGACTCGGACTTGTTTGGATTTAGGGCAGCCTAAAGCGGTTAGGTTCGTGTCGGATGAGTCAGTTTTGGTCGCCGGATGTCGTTCGTTTAGCTTCCAGTTAAAAACTCTTTTTCGGTTTAATTAATTCGTTGATTGCCGCACTGAATCCTCAACGGGTTTCCCTTGCCTATGCATAAATTAATCAGTTATTTACTTCCTGGAACCAAGCTACTCCCATGAAACCGCCACAAATCGCTACGGCGTGCAATCAATAATGAAAAATACACATTTTCCCGAGGGACCTTGGGGCCGAGCTAAAACAATTTCAGCCGATAACATCTCGCATTTCCTGCCAGCTCAAACTTCCAGCTCTAAACCATTAGATTTCTCTGCGTATTCGCCTCCCAACGACGGCATAATGTGGGTCGTAAACATTGGTTTGTGGGGGAAAATCAGAGAATCGCCATAGACAAAAGCGAATGGATTATACCGTTGAAATGAATGAACTTGGGGTATAGTAGGCGCTGGAAAGTGAATACACAATACAGAAATTCTACTGGTTATATTAATATTAACAAACAAAAAATATATTCAACATTTTAAAACTGGGAGTAAATTGAATTTTCTTTTGTCTTTGAACTAAAAACTCTCAAATTTAAAGAAGAATTTAAAATGGAAAACCAGTATAATATTTGATATGGTAAGGCAACTACTTTCGGTAGAGTCAGTAATCTAAGCTGTCAGGTATTTCAATGCGTTTCTCAGACTTCCCTTTGTGACTAGTCATAAAATCGGACCCAAGAAATTTTTCGGAATTCGATTCAGTTCAAAGGTTTCCGATTAGCGAGGGGCCTCTGTGCGCAGACGTTGCCAGTTGCCAGTTGCCTCAACGCGGAGCCATGTCTTCCATCAATGACAATAATCAATCACGGCTCGCCGCAGATGAAAAAACCAAAAGGCGGAGCCAAATGAGGGGCAAAGCGAGGCTGAAAATCGAATTAAGGCGAACAAAAAGAGGAGCCGCAGATGGGAAGTGTAAGTGTGAAAAGTTGGCCACAAAAGCCGACGGCAAGAGGAACTTTTCCTCGCCGCAGCCAAATCACTTGAACTACGCTTTTCTTGTCTCTACTCGCTCGCTAACTTTAATTGAAAACACAATTTACTTAATTTTTGCATATCTCGCTTCAAATTACGTTGCATAATTTTGAATAATTTTTATTCGTATTTTTTGTGTTGCTTTTTTCTGCTTTACCCTCCTTCTCTTCATCGTTCGGTAATCATTTTTGCTTTTCATATTTTTATATTCTTTCAGTAAATGGTTTGTTATAACATTTTGTTGATTTTTAATTAAATATGCGTATGTGTAATTTTTAGCAATTGTTGTTTGGTTGGATGTTGTTGCCGTTGTTGTTGTTGTTATTGTTGATGTTGTTGGTTTACACAGAGCGGTTGTTGTTGTTGTTGTTTCTTGTTGGTTGTTTAATTTAAATTAAATTAATTACTAAAATTATTTTATAACAAATATCACTACAATAGTTTGCATTTTGTTGTTGTTTGTTTTTGTATCGTTTATCAATTACTACCATTACTAAAAAAGAAAAAAAGATCGCTCGTTTCCTCTTTTTCACCGTCGGACAACAATTTCTCATAGCAGCTAAACAGAATTGAATTTCATCTCTTAATATTTTTTAGAGTTAATTACTTTTGATTCTAAAAGCTTTGAGGGGGTGTGTATATATAGTACTGTTTAGGGGGAGGATCTATTGGTTATTCCTTGAGGCGGCTATTTCATCGACGCGTACTTGGTAGGCGCCTGTCTCATGTGTTGCAAGTTGCCTGTTGCTCCTGTTGCTCCTGTTGCTGCTTCTGCTCCTGATGTTGCCGTTGTCCTTGTTGCTGCCTCTGCCGCATCACACGTTGTAGCAGGAGATCTGGGGCAGGTGCTGGAATGTGGGCGTGGCCGAGACCGCCGTGGCCGCCGAACTGAACGGCACAAAAGAGGTTTGTCCAGCGGCAGCGGCGGCAGCCATGTTGAGCGAAGCGGCCGCAGCATAGGGATGCATCCGCTGGGACCGCAGATACTGGCGGTACTTTCCGCTCAACTTGTCCGTGGCCGTGTTCACCGCTCCCGTCGCCCCTGCACCGCTCACAGCCCCACCCCCGCCTCCGCCCACCGACGCCGAGCCACCGGAGGCCGCTCCGGCGGTGGGCGTGGCCGAGTAGAGGCGCATGGGATTGGTGTCAGGGCCGGCCTGATAATTGCTAGGAACTGTGGCCATCGGCGAGCGGTCCATCAGCATGGACGTCGCGTCCCAGGGCGGAGGAGGCAGGCAGTGTTGCTGTTGCTGCTGTTGTTGTTGCTGTTGCTGCTGCACCTGCGACTGTTGCAGCTTCCCCGAGGCGACCGCCGTCTGGCCGTAGTTGCTGCCGGAGATCATGGCGTCCCGCTTGCCGCCCCCACTGCCCCCCTTGGCCGCGTAGTGGCTGTGGGGGTGCAACATGTGGTGGGGCGTGAGGGCGGTACGTGCGGCCAGGGCGGCAGCAAGCTGATCCCACTGCCCGGCGGCTGCAGCGGCAATCGACTGTGCTTGAACGGCCGCAGCTGCCGCGGCGGCATGGCTCTGACTTTGGCTTTGGCGTTGGCTTTGGTTGCTGCTGGCACGTTGCTGTTGCTGCTGCTGCTGTTGTTGTCGGCGGACATCCAGACTAGACTGTTGTTGAGGATAGTGAGCCTGCTGTGACATTTGCGACATCTGCTGGTGCTGTTGTCGCAATTGCTGTTGCTGTTGCTGGTAGCGCTGTTGTTGCTGCTGCTGCTGAGCCTGCTGCTGCTGCTGTTGCTGCTGCTGGGCGCTGGTGCGAGCTGCTCTTCGGACCACTGCACTACTGCTCGGTGCCGAGGCCACCGCCGATCCACTGCCACCCCCGCCCAAGGCGGCGCCACTGCTCAGCGAACTGCTGCTCACGGCCCGAGCTGTGGCATGCATGTTGTTCACGAACGGACTGCGCCGCTGGGACTCCATTTTGCGGAAGTAGCAGGGGTGGATCATCAGCAGCGGCTCCACCCTTTGGCCCGCCGGCGGCTTCGGCTGGTTGGGCAGCTCGTACTCCACACTGCAGTCCACGTGCAACGGGATGCTGTAGTCCTTTTGGGGCGACGGTGCGGGCGCCGTGTTGTTGCTGCTCCCGTTGTTGTTGCTGCTGCTCGCGGCAGTCTGCTGCTGCTGCTGTTGTTGTTGTTGTTGTCTGCTGTTGGCAACGGCGGCGGCGACCTGCGTTTGGGTCGCCGCCGCGTGGCTGTGGCGCTGCGAGTTGCTGGCGTTGCTGTTGTTGTTGGCGGGCTGATGGAGTTGTTGCTGGCGGTGATGTTGCTGCTGCTGCTGCTGTTGTTGCAACAACTGTTGCTGGTGTGCAGCCACCGCGGCGTGGTACATGTGTTGCTGCTGCTGCTGGTGGTGATGCTGCTGCTGCGCCTGGCCATGTTGCTGCTGCGACTGGCTGTGCTGCTGCTGCTGTTGCTGCTGCTGTTGTTGCTGCTGTTGCTGCAGCGCGGACAGGGCCGACATGCCGTGCGACAGGGACGACATGTCGTAGTTGGCATAACAGGCGGCCATCGTCATTGCTGGTTTTCGGGGGCTCCTTTAGCTTTTGCTCTCGTTTCGGTAACACAGAATTCGCTTTTGGTTGCTTATTTACTTTTCGATTCAGATTTTTAGCATTTTGCGGGCGTTATTTTCGCTTTCTTCACTTTCGAAAAAATTCACTTTTGTGGTTTTATTGGCACTGGTAATCCAAAAAGAGCGGCTAACGGTAAATTGCCGCTGCAGGTAATCCGTGAGTGTGTGAGTGTGAGTGGTGTGTGTGTTGGTTGTTTCTTTTTCTTTATCTGCTTCGTTTTCGATTTTTGTTTTTTGCTTTTGAGATAGGAGGAACCTTAATCCATATGTGTTTTTTGCTTTGCTTTGGAATTCGCTTTAACCCGTATAATATTTAGCTGCTGTTCGCGTGTTTAACTTTGTTTCGTTACGTTTATTGTATATTTATTTAGCGTTTTAATCAGTCTTTGTTTGGTTTTACATAAATGCAGCGAACAGTTGGAGCTGCTGGGTGAGTGTGGGTGAGTTTTGTTTTGGGGTGTGAGTGAACAATCCACGTGTGTTTTTCAGTCTTTTAGCCCGTTTTTCGCTGGCTTAACCGTTGCTTCCTCAGCTGTCTCTGTCCCTCTTTTCATTCGGGTCTGTTCTGCTCTGTTCTTTTCTCGCGGGAGTGAGTTCGCGGAGTAGGAAAACTTGTTAGTTCTAAGAGCAATAGAACTGCCGAACGAACGTCTCGACCACTCCGATGAAAAACGCGATCTGAGGCAAACGAGAAACCGAGTGATGGCTGCTTGCTGCTCTGCCCGGCCGCTGCTGGCGTTTGTGAGCGCGCCTCGGAGAGGGGGCGAGTCTGCTGAATGCGGAGAGGGCCGACTTAATAACGGGAGAGCGCGCACGGAAAACAGCTGTTGGCCAGACGCCTGTGTTTGGGCTTTGTTTTTGTTGCTTGTCTGGGCGAAGAATCGCTCACTTTTGGTATCACAATTGGCCGCAGTTGGGCTTGTTTTTGGTTTTTTCAGACTGCCTGGTCCGATCACTCGCAACGCGACACTAGGTCTTCCGACTCTCTTTAGAACACTTTCTGGTACAGAGCACTCTGTATCTTGTATCTGTATCTTGTCCGCACGATTCGAACTCTTTGAAGCGACTGCGACTGAACTGCAGAGACGACTTGGCCTCTAAGGCCCGCAGTCGCTGCTCTGCCGCCCTTCTGCCGACGCCTACCTGCTGTTCGGCACAGCTGATGTTCCGTGACGTATTCAGCACGCACACACGCGCAGGCTTTCCTGCTGAGAGCCAATTGCATTCAATGGCAGCATATGGCCGCTCTCTTTCCGCGCCCGTGTGTGTGTGCTACACATTCAGCCATGTTACTACACGGCGGCCATCTTTACAACTGTTTGGGCGAGAGCGAGAGCGAGTAGGAGAGAGCGCGAGCGAGAGAGCGAGAGCGCGCATTATTTTGTAATACGACTTTTTTTTGCCGTTTAAGTGCTGCCCTGCTTTAATTTTTTACTGCAAACGCTTTTTGGGAGCAGCTTTATGGGCTCGTAAAAGCAGATGGGGCCTAAAGGGGTTAACAGCGAGTTGAGAGCTAATTGAGTCGCACTAAAACGGGGTATAAAATAAACCTATCAGTGGAACATGATTAGGTGGGGTTCTTTCTATAAAACCAGATGAATGCCTGAAGCATAAAGTTTCAATTAAGCAAACGGAAGAACTGAAAATGTCAACTATCAAACAAAAGCCAAGAGACCTCTGTAATGTATCTTTGAACACACCTAGTTTCTAAATATAACAAAAAAGCCCGAGAACCTCCCCGGTTTTTGAATACGAAAACCTAAACTGCGCACTGAGAGACTTTTCTACTTTTCTGCAGCCAAAAAAAGAATTACAAAACTCAAACAGACAGCGAAATTAAACATTTCTGCACTAAAAAGTGGGCAATTTAAGTCGGGAAAGGGCACTGTCTCTCTCTCGCACACACATTCCGAGAGCGCGAGCGAGAGAGAGAGAGCAAGAGCGGCAGAGGCAGACGGAATTACACACATTGTAATAAATAAGGAAGGTCGTTGCCATAGCAGCAGCCGTTGGCGTCGTTTTTTTCCCCCACTTATTGTTGTTGCTGCCGGAGAGCCATGGCCGCTCTCCCTCTCTTTTGGGGCTCATTCAGCAACTGCTGATAACGAATCAGCTGTTCTGGTATTTGGGGAGGTGTGTCCGTGCGCGAGTGTGTGGGTGAGTGACGACTGTCTGGCTGCCTCTCTTTTATACTATTTTCTTTTTGTTTTTTTTTCCAAGCATATGTTTGTTGCAAATTGCTCTGGTAGTTGTTGTTGCTGTGGGTCTGTAAGTTGCTGCCGTCATTTTGGTAGTTGTTGTTGCTTTATAAGCAGGGAGAGAAAACTCGTTAATGGATTTAAAATCTCAAATTAATATAAAACTCTTATTTTTAATAGAGGTAACAAATGGAGTAAAATCAAATCAAAAGGTTCCATTGATCTGATGACAAAAGGCGACTCAAGATATGCTAATGATTTTTGCTAATTTTTGTTAGTACTGGCACATTATGGCTACTCGTTTTCGTTAGTTTTATGATGTTTCCTCTGTATTATGGGTGTTGCTCTTGGATTTGTAGTTTGTGCTAGTATGTTGCTGCCAAGTTGTTGCACTTGTGCCTCCCTGCGAGTGGTTATTATTGCTCTTGTGTCTTCTGCCTTCTGCTGCTGGCGTGTTGTTGCTGTTGCTCGTGGGCCTGATGTTGCTGCTTGCGTGCTTAATGACGAGTCGGCCGCATTACAGTTTGATTACGGGGCCGCCAATTTGGAAATTACCAAACTGCTCGAATTAGAGGAACAGTCGCTCTGGGACTCAGCCCATGGCTCAACCTCAACCAAACGGCAAAAACAGAAGAACAAAAACGGACAACAGGAAATTGGCCAAGACTGGCACTGGCAACCAGCAACAACAGCAACAAGGCTGGAAATTATCTAGAAAATTTTACGAAATTAGAAATTCTAGACAGATAATGGTTTACTCAAGTGGCGTTGGTTAAATTGCAGAATAAAAGAGGCATTTGAAGGTATTTAAATACGGCCCGTTACCTAATGATAGCTAGAAACCTCTGCCAAAAGCACCCAAAGTCTCTTTATAAAATATACAAACATCAAAGAAATAAAATATCGTTAAATACTAACTATAGTTTGGGATGTGGTTTCAGCACTCAAAAGTTTTTACTTTAAATTCAAACATATTTAAATGAGTTAAGTTTCTTGATTGTGAAATATCATATTGTGGCTGGGTGTAAAATATAATTCTTTGTAGGGATGGTTGCGATCGAGGATCGAGTATCGCATTTCGGAACGAGTGAAATATATAATTTTGTACAATTTCCATTTAAATGCAGCTCTATGATAACATTCAGCTCTGCTTGTTTTCTCCCCAGGGTCATTCTTTTGATCTGCAGTTTTCGGATTTCTGGCATTCACTCATTAAATCGGTCCAGCCCACATTTCCTGTTCCTCTAATCTCTGTCATCGTCTCTTTTTTATTTTTCCTTTGTACTATCGCTCTGCTCCTCGGCTTCTTTCGTTTCGTTTCGTTTCGTTCCTTTTCTTCCCTTCTGGCATATCGAATTCATAACTCAACTGCCTTTCTCTTGTTAAAGTCACAGTCCTCCCGATCTGTGCTCCCTGGTCCGCCTTGTTCGCCTGGTACAGTGAAGCCCGCCGGAAACCTGTTTGCATTATTAAGTAACCGCTATGCCGGGGATTGTGTCCGAGTGCGACCGGTTGCGCTGCATGGCTTCTTCCTAAGAAGATGGTTATTCTGCCGTCGCTTCTATTCCCCGATGTCCGCACGAAACTTTCGTTTTTTATACCCGGTACTCGATGGGGGTTAGAGCTATGCTGCCTTTCAAAAACCCTATTTTGTCAAGGAATTTACTTATAAATATCGAACCAACCTTTTCTTGGTAGTTAATACCTCAATTTCCTCTTAGTACTTACATCTTATATTATTTAAAATATAAATAAACATCACCAGGTGTTATAAACACCATCAAATAATTTATATACGGAGTTTCTCTCCTATTTCAGTGCTCAAAGTTTTGTCTCTCTTCTTTCATATTAATCAGATGTTCGGTTTATTTACATTGTAACCGGGCATATTGATAGTAAATATGTTTTCGGTAAAACTCTAAGTTAAGTTTATAAAAATGCAGTTTAATATTGGTTTTTAAAATAAAAAGCAATTATAAGTCAGTTGCAATTGCAATTAATTATTAAAAATCGAACTTATGTTTGATTGATTATTTTTTGGGCAGCCAAGTACTACTGTTAGCCTAACTAAAACCTTCTTACGCTCAAAGTCGTATACTTAGGGCATCTGAATGCAGGGTATCTTAAGATCGAGCGGTGCGATCGTGCAGGCCTTTTTTGTGTGTCCCCCCTTGTGCTGTTGCCGTTGCAGTTGGCTTGTCTGTTTGTCTGGTCCGCTTGTTAATTCGAAATAAAAACAGGAAAATTTACTTTACAATCTGTGCTAAAATCGTAAATTTTTAGCCCGGCTCAGGGGAGCGGCGGTTCCACGTCCAGTTTCGCAGGTAAGACGAGGCAGGCAGGCTGCGAGGCAGGGCAAGGTAGGCTAATCCGCTTGGGCATGACAACGATGACTATTTGTTCTCGGCCCGGATCTCCTGCCTCCCCGCCCCTCCCGCCGTCCGCTCTGTTTGCGGTTCCACGTATTCTCGTACTCTCGAATTCTCGGGCCGTGCCTAGTTGTTATCTCTTCTTATTTAATTTTTGGCTGCCATTGCCGGAGTTGCTGTGCTGTCGCCGTCTAATCTCCCCGGCAATATCATCACGAACGCTGGATACCCGGCTCACCGGCTCCTCAGCTCCTCGCTGCGAGAGCCTGGCCGTTGATTGATGCGTTTCCCATTCGGAATTTATGCCATGGACCATTTTAGGCAAGCGCTAAGCAATTCATTTTTTTTTCCAGCCGAGCAGTCCTTGCTGCCCCCCTCCACTCTACCTCAGTCCAATCCAGTCCGTTCAGGGGTGGTTACCCAGCCACTTTCCCGTCAAATCTGGCTGCTTTTTAGAGCTATAATACTATTCTTTTATGCAAACTTTTGTCAACAGGATTAACGTCAAAAAAATCACCTATCCAAATCGTGCATTTTCGATTTTATGTAAATTTCAAACTAGTTAGAAGACAACCATAGGAATTCATTGTGTTGTATGCTTTATGTAAAGGGTGAGTAAGGTAAATATAATATAAAAGATCATTCAGCTTTTTTACACAGACTCCGTCTAACCTTCATAAATACAAATTTTCCCATATTGTAACAAAATGTTCTTGCACTTATTTTAGTTCTTTGTATATTATTTTCTGTTTTCAATTTCTAGAATAAGAAATACCTAAGATAACTTCTATAAAAAATAAAATAACTTTTAACAAAGTCGACAACAGTAATAAAAGACAATCTATCTTCAGATTGACGGAATATATTTTAAAATTAAAGGAAGCAATGGGAATTTTTTTATTTAGGTAAATTTTGGCAATCAGTATTAAAAATGTTTCGCCTTCTACTAGCCCTATAGCTAGATCCTTACATCCGCAACTCCCTTTTTTTGGATGCCTGATTTATAGCACATTTTCATAGATCACTGTGGGCATCACTGATCGGATCCCCTCCAGCTGCAATCAGCGGCTTGATCGGGCGTGCGATACTCTGCCAGGAACAACGGCAGCAGCAGCAACATCGAACCAGCAACATCTACCGCAGCAACAGGCACAGCAGCAACATCAGGAGCGTCTTGAGGCGCAGGCACGTTGCCCATGGACTTCGGACGGCGATAGCGATGGCGACGGCGTGCACGTCGAGTGAATCTAAATTGCTAAATACCTTTTTATGGTGGCTGGCAGTCCCACTGTACCGCTGCCCCTGCTGCGGAGCTTCAATTTAACATTTTAAAAATGTATCTTCGTATCGCCGGCTTTCGCAGAAGCGATCCATAGTTGCTTCATAATGTATTGTATACATTTTGATTTTCCCTGAAACCGAACTGGCCTCCTCATTCCTGTGATTCATCATGGAGCTGTGGCCGCTTTTGGTAGTTGCTCCTTTGGCATGTTTTTAATA